CAATCAGACATAACATCTTTCAGACTTAAGTTACTAGATCATATAAATTTAAGAGTAAATAAGTGTTACGTTAAACGAGAATACACATTATTCAAAAATAAACTTAAAAAATCACAATATAATATGTGACTTTTGAAGTTTATGGAAGTAGACCACTTCTAACATGTTCCTGAAATTCATGATAGGTATTTTCTACCTGTCAATCACTCCTGCCTTAGTGACTCTCTAAAGCAGAGGAAATTTTAGTTGCAAGAATTCTAAACAAAACACAGAAAAGTAGGCAAATAATTATTTTTCTTCAAGTACATAATAACATTAGAAATGTCTTCCCTCTACTCAGTGTCCATTTTTATCAAATCATTTTATGACTATAGATATCATTTGTTTCTGAAGACCCACAAGTTACCTGTGATAACTCCTGTTACCAACTTTATTGATGAAGACTTACAGATTATGAAGAGAGTAACAGAATGTTAAAAACATTAACTTCAGCCGGGCTCGGTGGCTCAGCCTGTAATCCCGCGCCTTTGGGAGGCTGAGGTGAGTGAATTGCCTGAGCCCGCGGGTTCGAGACCCGCCTGGGCAGTGAGACCTCATCTCTACAATAAATCAAAAAATCAGCTGGGTGAGGTAGCGCATGCCTGTAATTCCGGCTACTGGGAAGGCTGAGGCAGAAGAATCACCAGAGCCCAGTAGGTCGAGGCTGCGGTGGCCGGGAGCGGCCACTGCACTCCAGTGGGCGACAGAGTGAAACTCCGATTCAAAAAAAAAAAAAAAAAAATAGTGGTGGCGGCACGGACACAGACACACAGTACCCCACCGAGGCCAGCCGTGCACAGTCGGGAAGAGGCAGGAGCTGGCCTGCCGGGTGGTCAGCTCCTCACCGTGGCCCTCCTCTCCCGCAGGGGCTATCTGATCGCCGCCCCCTCTGTCTTTCGCGCGGGAGTGGAAGAAGTCATCAGTGTGACCGTCTTTAACGCCCCACGTGAAGTCACAGTCCAGGCCCAGTTGGTGACTCAGGGCCAGGTGGCGGTGGAAAGCCAGGGAGCTGTCCTGGGTAGGTCCTGCAGCCCCTGGCCAGGGCTGTCTCCTTTCAGGCGGGGGTGAGGTGGGTGTTGCTTTGCTTCCCACCTCCCGTGTCCCCAGAGGGAGGGTGGGTAGGTTGGGCTGTCCCCAGGTTATAGATGGGAGGAGTGAGGCCCAGAGGCACTGCCCCCTCCTGATTCTGTGAGCCAGAGCACGTTGCCCTGGTGGCCCCGCGTCAGGTCTGCTCAGCCGGGGCCCTTCCCTGGCAGCCTTCAGGGAGGGGAGCAGTGGGCCGCTCACGACCTCTTCAGACCCTGGGTGACTCCCAGCACCCGCGGCCATTAGACCCAGACTTGGGCTCGCAGGGCCGCCACGGGGTGGAGCTCAGGCCCCCGACCTGTTTCTCCCCCTCCTTGGCCAAATGCCAGTGGCAGCCATGCCAGCCTTCTGGCAGAGGAGGTGAGTGCAGGGCCCTGCCTGGGGGACCGGGGTCTGTGGGTGAACTCGCCCCTTGCACAGAGCATGACTCAGACACTGGGCAGAGAGGGGAGGCCGGTGAGGCAGCACCTGCTCCCCAGGCCAGAGAGGGTGGGAGTGCAGGAACTAGGAGAAGGGCTTCCCAGACCAAGTCCTTCTAGAACCTTCTGGGAGTCCTGGTGGTGGAAGAAGCAGGTGGAGGCTAGCCGACAGAAACCCACTCAGTCTGGCTTCAGCAGCAGAGACCTGGTGGGTTCTCACACTGGGAAGTCCCTGGTGTTGCTGGTGCTATCTTCCCCTGCCGGATGGGGTCTGTGTCTCCCCACGTGCTCAGCCCTGAGCCAATTCCAGTGACCGGGTGCGTGGAGCCCTTCCTACCCATGTTGGCTGGAGCAAGCAGGTGGCTCCTTTAGGGAAACTGAGCTTCTGTTGCAGAAGATGGGGGAATGGATGCCAGGGAGCAGAAACAGTAGGTGCCTAATTGAGTCCTGGAGACCAGAAAACCTAGGAGAATTGTTGGAGCCACAAATGACCCCATGTGGGGAGCAGAGTGAGGAGACAGGAAAAGCAGTGAGGTCCACTGGGGTGAGGTCCACTGGGGACCTCCGTCTCCTCTTCTTTCTCTCCACCCCTCCTTGTTTCTTTTGGCGTTTTCCCTTTCCTTCTCACGTGGCTTACTTTGGGCAGGGGCCAGAGGTGAAGTAAATTAAGCACACAGGCAGGCCAACTTTCCCCTGAATAGTCCAGCTTTGTCCTCTGCTCACACCAGCTTGGAGGAAACCTCTTGGTCCTGCCAATCTCAGGAGGGCCTGGGCCAGGCCAGCACGACCCAGGGTGTGTTTGTCCATAGAAAACCCCTCTGCAATGAGAACATTTTTGTTTGTAAGTGGCAGCGCGGGAGAGGCAGGGGAGCACAGCTTCTGGTTTAACCTTTTTCAATTTATTTTCATTTTTAGATAAGGGGACGATCAAACTCAAGGTAAGCTGTGAATTAAAACAATGTTTAAACCCAGCCTTGATAATAAGGAATTAAATTAGAGTGGAGTAAGAGAAATTGCATGTGTTGCAAGAGAAATCACTAGTGGTTATGTAAAAAATGAATAACAAAGTTTAGAGAAGGAGAAACCTATCCATAATTCATTTTTATACCTGTGGACTCAGGCAATCCACTTGCCTCAGCCTCTCAAAGTGCTGGGATTATAGACTGAGCCACCAAGCCTGGCCCAAGGACTCCAGTTTAAGAACCCATGTCAGGATTGGACTGAGCCCACGGGTTTGAGATCAACCGGGGCAACTTGGCGACACCTCATCTGTACAATAAATCAAAAATTAGCCGGGCTTGCCAGTGTGCGCCTGTCATTCCGGCTACTTGGAAGGCTGAGGCAGAAGGATCACTGGAGCCCAGCAGGTTGATGTTGGGGTGGCCGTGAGCGTGCCACTGTACTCCAGCCTGAACAACAGAGTGAGACTCCAACTCAAAAAAACAAAAACAAAAACTGAAGTCTTTGGATTTCAGGGGGTTTGTAAGCTCCAGAATTATGGGCATTTTTGAGTTAGCTCTTCCTTCACTTTTACCAGATGCTCGAAGGAGTCCGTGGAGATTGGGCTAAACTGAAGAGTTACCCTAAGCTAGAGTGTGCCCAAAGGCTGGGTGACTCCTCTTGCCCGGGGGTGTGTTATCAGTGCCTAATTGCTGGGGGCAGCAGTCTTCCTGCCTTGTGTTCAATGACAGACGCTTTCCTTGAGGCCAGTGGTTCTCACCTGGGGGTGGTTTTGCCCCCCATGCGACATTGGGTGATGTCAGGAGACATTCGTGGTTGTCACAACTAAAGTGGGGTGCCATCGGCATCGGGTGGGGGGAGGCTGGGGTGCTGCTTGACACCCTGCGGTGCACAGGACGCCCCACGCCAGAGAACAATCCAGCCCCGGTGTCAGCCATGCCAAGGCAGAGAAGCTCTGCTCTTCAGAACCAGGGTGTGGGCACTGGGGAAAAGCAAATCCACTCGTGTAGGTGCAGAAGTGCCTTCCTAACCTGCAGCCCTCCTGCCCTGGGGAAGCTTCTGGGGACAGGGGCGTTTTGGGGTACACGGTTTGGAAGTCAGTGCTGTGGGACCCAGCACTGTCATTGGCTGCCATGGCAGGTCCTGCCCAGTTTGAACCAGGGCCTTCTCGAACCCGTGCAGCGAGGATGTCACACAGAGGCCCTTGGTGGAGCTTTCTAGAAAGTGTGCCCACAGCCTCCTGACACTTGCTTTGTTCTGAGTTTTCAGACATTCCTATGCATCTGTGTAAGAAATGTCTCCCAAGCAAGCAATCTGTTAAGTCCCAAAGCTGGATGGTTCCTGCTTTCTCAGCCAGACAATAAACACCAAATTGCATCAGAGAATAGAATTTGATTTTATTTTAAAATATATCAGAAAAGGGGCGGGGCATAGGGGCTCGCTCCTATAATCCCAGCACTTTGGGAGGCCAAGGTGGGAGGCTTGCTTGAGAGCAGGAGTTTGGGTGTAGCCTGGGCAACATAGTGAGACCTCGGCTCTACAAAAATATCAAAAAATTAACTGAGTGTGGTGGTGTGTGCCTTTGGAGACAGGAAGTGACTCGCCAGTTCACAGAGTGCGAGCCGCCCACCCGACCAAGTCTCCTCTACTCAAAGCCGCCATCCTATCTGGCCTTGCACCTGCCACAGGTCTTTCCGGAATATTCTAGAATATTCTCTATCCCCGACCTCAGCGATCCAAGTTCACTTGTTTGACACCAAGGACAGCTGAGAGCCCCGCAGGAGGGATAGACAGGTGATCAGGGAGGTGGCAGGGCTGAAGGAAGCAGCTCCTGGCTGGGTACCCTTAGGGAGACCATGCGCAGCAATCAGTAGACCCAGCTACTTGAGAGGCTGAGGAGAGAGGATACTTTAAGGCCAGGAGTTAAGAGACCAGCCTGGGTGCCTGTCTCTACAAAAATAAAAAAAATTAGTTGGACATGGTGGCTGCACCTTGTGGTCCCAGCTACTTGCGAGGCTGAGGAAGGAGGATTGCCTGAGCCCAGGAGGTCGAGGCTGCAATGCGCTGTGATTGTGCCACTGCACTCCAGCCTGGGTGACAGAGTGAGGCCCCGACTTAGTCACATTTTGTGTGACAGGGAGGGCCCCTCCCAGGAGACCTGAAGAAATCACCATGCAGGGATGTAGGGGAAAGGCATTCCAGGTGCGTAGGAGCCACCCACGCACAGGTCCTGAGGCAGGAAGGAGGAAGAGCCAGGCGCCTGTGGCCTGGAGCCCAGCAAACCAGGGGCTCCGGGACCCGGAGGGAGGCTCCCATCTGAGAGATCAGTCTCACCCGTGTTCTCCATCACTGGGGCAATAGTGATGCCTTGCTGCCCCGCCCGTGGGCATCTACTGTGTGGCAGGGGCATTAAGCTCATGGCCACCCATTCTCACCGCAGTGCTTCAAGCCGATGTGACCAGCACTGTTTTAGGAGAGGAGATAGAAGCGCAGAGGGCCCCGTGGGTCAGGTTCTTCACGCGTGGATATGCTTGGGGACCCCCAGAGCCACGCCCCCCGCCACAGATCGGTGTCCCTAGGGAGGGTTTCAGACCCCCCTGGAGACAGGCTGGTGCCCTTCCGCTCTGCTCGCTAGGTCCACATCCAGGATGCCATGTGTCAGTGGGCTGTATCTGGGGTCCAGGAGGGAGGGCAGGCCCCACATCCAGAGCCTGAGGGAGCTCCCTAGACTGGCAGGTGTTGTGCTGGGCCCTGCTAAAGCCAGCTGCTCCTGGACGGGCAGGGGACAGGCCCAGGACAGAACTGACTGCTGCACATGGTCTCCCTAAGGGGAGCCAGCCAGGCGCCGCTTCCTTCAGCCCTGCCACCTCCCTGAACACCTGTCTATCCCTCCTGCGGGGGCTCTCAGCTGTCCTTGATGTCAAACAAGTGAACTTGGATGCTGAGGTCGGGGATAGAGAATATTCTAGAATATTCCGGAAAGACCTGTGGCAGGTGCAAGGCCAGGTAGGACAGCAGTTTTCAGTAGAGGAGACTTGGTCGGGTGGGCGGCTTGCCCTCTGTGAACTGGGCGAGTCACTTCCTGTCTCCAAAGGCCATCATGGTCCAGGTGCCCCCTTCCCAGTGCCCTGGGGGAGAGGTGCCTTGTCATCCCTCCCAGGCCTGGAAGGAGCTGGGCACCTGGCACGGAAGCCGCGCAGCCATGCCGACCTCCAGCCTCGAGCTTCACTTCCGGGGTCCCTAGAGAAGTCAGGAGAGACCCAGAATCCAGACCGGGTCACCAGGGTCCTTCCTCCCTGGGAAGGGGGACGCCCTCGGGGCCTACAGTTGGGCTTTCCCTGCTCCTGTCCCTCCAGCACAGGCCTCGGCCCTCCCGTGGCTCCCTCCCTGGTGGCTGGGGTCTTTCCCCCTCCTTCAGCCTTTGGCTGGGGTTTCTAGAAATAGGAGCCGGTGAGGATATTGGGATTGGAGGAGGGGCGAGGTCTGTCCCCCCAGTAGTACCTAAGCTGAAGCTGGGGTCAGGAGAGACCTCATGGGGTGGTCCCCCAGGGGGATGGCGAGGCCAGTCCCTCTGGCACTGTTCTGAGCAGACCGGAGGGGTTGGCCGCAGGGCGGTGGGCTGACCCTTCGTGGCCTCCAGCGGGCTTCAACTGCGCAGTGGGCACAGCTGTGCCAGATGCTGTGTGGGTCTGCAGATCATTCTGCAGGACCATTCCTGGGATGGGCGCCAGGGTCCTTCCGCCCCTTGGGGACTGTGCCAGCGGGTGCTGACAGGTGAGCCCTCAGAAGGGGACCCCACATTTGGGTGGCCTTGGGAAGGGGTATGTCGCCCCATGGGAACTGCTGCGCAGGGTGTCCACCCTCGGGCGCCCCGGGAGGCACAGGCATGGCTGTCCCCGCAGGGGTGTGACACCGAGAAGGCGGACCTCAGCACGAAAGGAGCTTTTATAGAGTTTGACGCTTGGGGCGTTCGCTCATCACTTTGATCAACTGGGGGGGGATCTTGTGGGTGGGCCCCGTCCCCCGAAGGTGGAGACTTTGCCCTGGCAAGGCTTCTTGATCCTTAGGGCTCTGCGGAAGTTCAGTGTTTTTCATCTATGTGGCAAAATTGTAACCATGACCATTTTAACCATTTAAAAGTGCACAATTTAGCGGCATTTAGCACAGTCACAAGTTGTGCAACCACCTTTATTGTTCCAGAACATTCTCATGCCCCAAAAGCAGACCCCGTCCCATCAGCAGTCACCCCCACCCCTCCCCCAGTCCCAACAGCCACGCATCTGCCTCCTGTCTCTGTGGATTTGCCTGTTCTGGACATTTCTGTCTATGGAGTCCCACATAATGCGCGTGCAGGGTTTTTAGTGTGAGGCAAAGCACAGATGATTGTACATTATATGTAATATATGCGGCATATGTCCTATCCATGCACGTATACACACATGTGCATATATGTGTATGAGAGAGCTAGAGTCTCTGTCCCCTGCTCACCGACTGAATTCACTTGGCAGGAGGGAGACAGTGCCTCTAACATTGCAGGGGCCAGGAGCGAAGGCAGCTTTGCAGCTTTGTGAGTCAGGAGAGAAGCTTCCTAGTCAGAGCAGCCTTCGCAGTCTCGGCACTGTGGGTACCTGGGCCGGGTCACTCTTTGCCATGGGCTGTCCTGGGCACCATAGGAGGTTGAGTGGCACTCGCTAGATGCCAGTAGCATCCCTCCTCTTGTAGATGTGACACCCCCAAAACATCTCCAGAAACCGCCACGTGTCCCCTCCAGGTAAGCACCCACCCTTGATATCCAGACTGCTTTCCTAATGACTCGGCCCCCTGGGGATGACCCCCGTGTCCCGATGCCCCGTGCTCTGCCCGCAGGTGCCCACAGGTCTCCACGGTCAGGCGCTCTTGAAGGTGTGGGGCTGCAGCTGGCACCCAGATGAGGGTCCCCTCTTCCACAACCAGACCTCGGTGACCGTGGACAGCCGGGGTGCCTCCGTGTTCATCCAGATGGACAAGCCAGTCTACAGGCCCCAGCAGCGAGGTGGGTGGCTGGCATGGGGGCGGGCGTGGGAAGGCCGGCCGCCACCTGCAGGAGCCACATGCCTGTCTCCTCTCTCCTAGTACTCATCAGCATCTTCACCGTCTCCCCAGACCTGAGGCCTGTGGACCAGCAGGTGAGATGGGCCGCCCCTCCGCCCGGCTGGCCAGGCCCCCAGCAACCTGCCCCGCTCCCAGCCCCTCTGTTCCGCCTCCTCCCAGCTCCACACACCCTGGAGAGCCCCAAAAAGGTCTTTGTGGCGGGGGGGAGGCAGATGGGCACGCCTGGCTCGCTGCCCCTCCATGGGGGGCACCAGTGACTTTTCAGGGCTTTAGGCAACTGTGAACCAGCATTTAAGTCCTAATAATTAGGCATTTATTTAACCTTTATTAGAAAATATGACTGGGTCCCTTGGCTCATACCTGTAATCCCAGTGCTTTGGGAGGCCATGGTGGGAGAATTACTTGAGGCTAGGAGATAGAGACCAGCCGAGGCAACGAAGTGAGACCTTGTCTCTGCAAAAACATTTAAAAATTGGGGCTCAGCCTGTCATCCCACGCCTTTGGGAGGCTGAGGGGAGTGGATTGCCTGAGCCCGCGGGTTCGTGACCCGCCTGGGCAGGCCAGATCTAATCTCTACAATAAAATAAAAAAATCAGCCGGGCGTGGTAGCGCGTGCCTGGAATTCCGGCTACTCGGAAGGCTGAGGCGGAAGGATCGCGGAGCCCAGCAGGTCGAGGCTG